ATACCCATCTCGTTCTATAATTCGATTGAGTGGCCGATAATCGATGCACACCCGTGGAGATCCGTTTTTTTTCTTAACTACAACTACCGGACTAGCATATTCAGAAGAACACGGTTCAATTATACCATCTCGAAGCCATTCTTCTATTTGTTTCTCTACTATTTTCTTTTCCGGCGTAGCTAATCTACATGGTCTCTGAAAAATCGGTTTTTCGTCCTTAAGCGTTATTTTAAGTTTAATTCCCATCGTTTTACATTTTTTAGGCTCATATTCGGTTATTAATTTTTTAATTCTGTCCCTTGTTTCCGCGTCTGAAATGGCTTCAATGTCCGCTTGCGAATCTTCCGGAATGTTAATATGGGCGAGAAAATCGGCTTCTAATTTTTTAAAGACAGTCACGCCGTCTTGATTAAAATTCAAATTAGCTTGTTCTAATATATCCCTACCAATGATTGCTTCTACGTTCATCGTCTCATAAAGCACAACATAAAATGTCAAAGGAAAGTCATCACCGTCTATACACACTACAGTTTGAAAATAGCCCACGGCTTTAGACTCACCGCCTCCAAATCCAGAAAATACGCGCGTCGATTGAGCCAGTTCAAATTTTTTCAGTTTCGCGAACGCATCCTCTCGAATCAAACTAGCAGGGCTTCCCGTATCTATAAGCGCTCTTAAATTTTCGTTACCAATAACAACATGTTTGATTACATTAGCCAAGGCCGCGCTTACCAGATTAACCGCCTGCTCCGCCTTCGAACTAGAACCGCTTACTCTCTTTTCCGTACAATTTCTTGCTTCGTGTCCGAATTTGTTGCAATTAACGCATTTTTTTCCTAGTGCCTTCTTATCACAGTTCCTAGCGTGATGTCCACTTGCGCCACAATTGAAGCAACGCATCGACGTTCCGTTCTCCTGGCTATCAGTTGTCCTCCTTTCGTTCTTGCGCGAGAATTTCCTACCCGCGTTCCTCGTCAATTCGTCTCGAGTCTTCGTGTATTTTGACGCTTTGTCTGGTTGGTTTTTCCTCATTTTTTCATAAATCTCGAGTTTATCCTTAAACCCACGAACGGTTTTTACTCCATATAAAATCATTTTGTTACTTGCTTCGTCGTTGATGCCGTTAATCACATAGTCAATCGATGCATCCAACTCCACCGCGCCTCTTGAAGCCAGCTCTCTCATCGCTAGAAAATATTCTTGTACAGTCTCTTTCTTTTTCATCCTGCGTTTCTCTAACATTTTGTGTAGCTGGGCGCTGGTAATTTTAGTGGCAAACTCTTCCGTCAATGCATCCTTTAGCTTCTTCCACGTCTTGATAATTCCTTCGCTCTGTATGAATAATTTGGCCACGCCTTTCAGCGATCTTTTTGCGAAGAAAACCTAACCTTATGTAGATCAATCGAACATGGCAGCGGCTTCCTCAAAATCGTTAATCCAGCGTTCAACTGGATACGAATCGGTTCCACTAAATGCACGAACCGAATCCTCCACATCTCTATAATTTAAGATAAATTGTTTAGCGTCGCTATTTGCATTTCTTTGCCTCCTACCTCTTTCAGGTCGACGGTTGTTTCCTCTTTCCTCATCGGCATCGGCATTCTCGTCGTTGATCTCGTCGACATCATTCTCGTCGTTATTTCTATCATCCATCTCGTCGTCGTCGTCCTCTCCGTCATCCTCGTCCTCGCTGCAAACTGATCGCAAAGACCCGACGTCCATCAGAGCCCTCACTATCCGCTCTCTCAGCTGCTCGGCATTTCCGGTGTATGCAATGCCAAGAACATTACAAATTGATATCAAATCTCCTATTGAAAATCTCACAGCATATTGGAGCTTAGCTCTAAATTTGGCTGAGTCGTCGTTGAATTCGAACCCGCGAAATTCTCGCAGTCGCCGTCGATTATTCCTATCTCCATCTATCTATCGCGATGCTGCGGCAATTTTTTGTTTAATTGCAGATATTTGCCCTAACTTCTCCATAACTTCGTCTATCGATTTTGCTTTTGCAAACGGCGATTGGAGATTTTGCGTTAAGCTCTGGAATATTCTCGGTCATACATACGTTGTTCGTCTATCTTCGTTCCTCCTTAGGATTCGCGAACGCTCTCGATCCCTGCTTACTCGCTGTCTATCGTCTATCTTCGTTCCTCTTTTGGATTCTCGAGCACTATCGATTCTTGTCCTACGTCTTCTTCTCGTCTTCCGCCTCTCGTCCTTCGTCTCTCGTCTTTTTCTCGTTTTTCGTCTTCTTCGTCTTTCGTCTTATCTTCGTTCCTCGTCTTTCCTTCGTCCCTCGTTCTATCCTCGTCTTTCGTCTTTCCTTCGTCCCTCGTCTTTCGCCTTTACTTCGTTTCCTATTCTTTGAATTTCCTCATTTCTCGTACTTCATTTCATACAGTCTTTCGGCTTTCCGCTCTTCCTTTCGGGCACTCATTAACACTTTCTCTTCGAATTGTTTTGGCACGGACGAGCCCCCAATAATTTATAGGATTCTAACAGAGACACTATTTATGATTTCAATCTGAATGTATTTCGGATCTCATTTACAAAGTTTCGGAGATTACATGCTCGCTCACTCGTCACCTTGTTCACGGGTCTATCCTCTTATTTATTTTCGCTTAGTGTTCGCTCGATCGACAGACTCGTTCGACGTTCGAATAACAACTGCCACGTCCTTCGCATTCGCTGTTTTTAGTTTATTGTTTTTAATCTATGTATTTTTATTTTGTCATCATGTTTGTTAAACTTGTCCAACAGATAAAAATGACATCGCTTGGAAGTCTTTTAAAATTATTTTAATTACGGACGTTTATAAGTGTTATAATAGAATTAATTACATTTTACATTTAAACTGTAAGTGATATACTATCGGTAGAGTTAAAAATTTTAATGTTTCAATTTTAAGAATTTTTCTTATTTTTCTATAAATTTTGATTTTAATTTATATGTGGTATGACAGTTTAACTTGGAAGTCATTGCATCGGTTGTCTTCAAATGGATAGTCTTTCGCCAACCAACGAGGAATATTGTTTGATGGATTGCCGATTTAATACTTAACAGAACAACAGAATTTCGGTATTCATGTAATTTGGAAGGATTTTTTTGGACTTCTAATCGAGTTATTTTTATTTATATATTGTTTCACTTTATTGTATAATTCTTATATTTTATCAGCTGTTTTGATGTAATGCATCATTCGCTCATAAATATCGATTTTTTATTTGTTAACTGAAGAGGACAAAGTATACGAAATGTTTGACATTGCAATTTTTTTTTTATTCTATCCTATTTGATTCTATTTTAATTTATTTTATTTTATTTTATTTTATATTATATTATTATATTTAATTAATTTATTCAGATGACTGTATGATCTTATAATTAAATGAATTAACAATTAAATTATATAGATTTTATGTTTTTATAATTAATGTTCTCGTTTTCTGGCCTTATTATGTGTGTTTCTTTTGAGTTTAAATTAATATATGTTCTTAAAGCAAAAATTATAGTGCTGAATAATTTTATACCAATTATAAGGATACTTTTTTTTGAAAAATCTATACTACGCAGAGACAGTATTCATTTGATGCATTTTTAATGTTTATACAGAAAGGTTAAATATATATAAAAAAAGAAGATGCTTTACTAAAAGTTTCCTTTACTTATTTATATGACATAAGAATAAAATGTTTATACACATTATTCTTAAGATATTATACCGATTATGGGGTGTTTTTTTTTTTGAAGATGTACAAACAAGGAATGAGATACAATACATCAAGCATGTAATTATCTCTCAATTACACTCTGTATAACTATACATATATAAATTTTCAGAGTAGTCGATGTCGATATGTTGACTAGGAATAATGCGCGTATTATACATCAAACCATCGCTACAATTTGATTTAGTAATCGAAATCATTTATATTTAGAGTTGACAATTTTTTCAAATATTGTTTTGGATAAATTTTTTTGTATACATGCAGTATATATAGCGGATTTTAGCACTTTACTATCTTCAGATAGTAGCTTAAGTTGGATGTCTCCTGCAATACAGGAATGTCGCAACTTGATTTTCGCAGACTTCTTGCCGTACCAAGTCACCTATGTACAACTTGATTTGAAAAAAAAGCTCCCTGCAATATTAAAGTCCTGGGGGATGTGTCAAATTTGTGCTTAATAGAAAATCCGCTACTGTTTTATATTAAAAAAAAAGAAACAGAGAAAATTTTTCAATCGATTACATAATCAAATTGTATTACATAGTCTTTTTCATAATGTATAGAGCTAACTATGTCTTAATTTTATAAACTTTGATTACAATCTTCTATATAACATCGGATATGTTTTGAGCAGATAATGCAATTAACAAAGCTGGCGGGATAAAATGGGAGCAAGAATATTTGTGTGAGAAAAAGTCAAGTTTTCTTCTTTATAGGTATCGTAAAGATCCTGATTCATATATTTAATAGATGATCATTAAGTATCAACGCATTCGTGTTTAAATGTGTCATGATGTGTGATCGTAGCAAGAAAGACAACTAACAATGATCCGTAATTGACAACCAACATTTTTTTTACAAATATTTTATAAAAATAAAAGAATTTTTGGATTTACATTTTCGTAGAAAAATTTAATATTAAAAAAAATTAGTTTCTCTTATTTTATAAATGAATGCAAAATTTGTCTTTTTAAAACAATAAACAAATTAATTTTAATTATATATATATATATATATATATATATATATATATACATATATATATTATATGTTCCTTATAATTATATTGAAATCAAATAAACAATTGTGTTTTAACAACAATTCTTTGTATTGCAATCCTTGTAATAGATTCTACAATACTTATGTCTTTATACTTTAGATATAACCCAGCAAACGCTAAGTAACAATTATATAACTGTTAGTTATAATTTTCCACTGAACAATGTACCATAAATGCAATATAACACGTGTGTTATATTGCATTTACATTGTTGAGTGGAAAATTATAACTAACAGTTATATAATAATTACTTGGTGTTTGCTGAGAACATATCAAATATGTTGCGTCAATTATTGTTTATTGTTGAGTTTATTTCTTTACTACAAATCAGGATGTATAATAATGTGGCATTTCTTCCGAAAGTGCATCTAGAAAGTGGATCTAGTGAATTGTAAAAGTAATTATGACGCCTAATGTGCCACATAAATACACGTATTTTATATTTCAATCGTATGAATCAACTATATACACACACGTAGATACGTATAACAGCTCGACAGAATATACTCGTCATGCAATAACCTTCCTGGCAAAAACTTGTCGATCATCAACCATCAAATAGTTTATCAGTCTATATTACGCATTAAAATAAATTAACAATAAAGACAAGAATAAATATACAAGATAAGTATATATGGTGTCCCATTTTCAATAGTCAAATATCTCGAAATAATAACATTTCAAAAAAAATGTATTTTAAACACAAGTTGTAGAGAAGTACATATCCCAGCAAACACCGATATATAATTGTTACATTGCTATAATAAAACGGAATATAACAGCCCATACAGCACGTCTAAATATAAGTTACATTATAGAAACGTAACATAGTTTCAGTTTCAATTGACATGTATTAGATACGTATTTGAACGAAATGATGAAAGCAAATTTAGTTTCAATTTGCTTTCACGGAATGATGAATTATAAGCTTCGTATAAAACGTATCTGACATGTATCCAAAAGGTAACAAATTATGTCGTTTGTTATATATTAAAATGATATCAGTTTGGTATCGGTTGTGCATTTGACACAAATTAGATCTTCATTTCACATGAAAATATACGCCACATTGGGTCACAAATTCGCGGGAAATCAGAGCATATTGCAAGAGTTAGATGCAAAATATAGTGACGGTGGGTGAATTTCTTGTAAGTTTGTGACTATTTGAATTTTCATCGATAGTTATAATTATAGTGTGTATTGCGAGCTCTGCGATAGTAGTGGAATACTCCGAATTTCGGAGCGGATATTATTACCAGCAGCTACATAACTTGCGTCAGTATAGCTGATTCATTTTCTTATTTAATTCTAAGGTAAAACTTTTTTAGTAAGTAAATATATATATATTATGTATCCTTTCTAAAAAAGATATGTGTGTATAAAATATATATATAAAATATATATATAAAATATATATATAAAATATATACAATATAATGGGAATCTCTTATGAAGGTTAAATAAGTTAATTGTTTTCTTAAAATATATATTTTTCACAGCATGTCTGATAACAAAAGAAAATATTCGTCGTACTCAAAACGTCATCGTAGATATTTAGTTGCTACTGAAACACAGAATGATTTGGACAGATTCCGATATGTAGATGATAATGATGATAATGATATTCAATTTTGTGAGGATCTTGAAGGAGTTACGGCTATTCATCATTCTTCTACCGATAACTTGCACGCTGCTAGCTCATCATCTTCTCAATCCAATAGTAATTGATGAAATTATAAATAAACTTGATAATAAAAAGTACATAATCAGTTTTGTCATGATAATTAATTAGATTTTTTTTCAGGTGATAATCCTCCATCTAAATCTGATCTGGCAAATAATGAATCTGATTATAATGTGAACTCTGATAGCGATACCGAAAATTGTAGTTCAGATGATGACCCATTATCTGATGACAAAGGTTATGGATGTGACTGGTTCGATGAAGACAACATCAATGCTGCAGGTAACAGATATGAATGTCACGACTCATGATAAGTAAGGATGGGATACAGAGTTCTGAATTTATGTCAGATTTAAAGTGGTGGGCAATAAAATACAGAATTTGTTTGAATGCAATTAGTGACCTCTTACAAATTTTAAAAAAACATATTCCAATATTATCATTTTTGCCTAAAGATGCCAGAACTTTTTTAAGAACACCGCGTGAAAATAATATAATTAATTTAGCAGGCGGATTATATTGGCATTGTGGTTTACGTAATTTTATTGAAAAATTAATAATTGACTATGATAAATTAGCACTCCCATCAAATATTGATTTAATTTTAAACATAGACGGTTTACCTTTAGCTAAGTCCTCTAAAGTTTCGTTTTGGCCTATTTTAGTATCCGATATTAAGTTAAAGAATGTTTACATGGTAGGTTGCTATTATGGAAATAGCAAACCAAGCAGTGCAAATGATTTCATGAAAGAATTTATTCATGAATTAATTAGTATAAATAATAAATTGCCTATACAAGTTTCACTTTATGCAATTGTTTGTGATGCTCCAGCAAAATTGTTTTTATTGTCCACCAAAGGTCACATCGGGTATGACAGTTGTTCAAAATGTTACATTCAAGGCACGCATAAAAATAGTAAAGTTTGTTTTGTTGAAAATGTTCCAAGTCGTCTTCGAACTGATACAGATTTTCTTGAGCAAACAGATGTAGATTATCATAAGGGGGAAACAATATTGACAATAGTTCCTAATTTAGGTTTAGTGACAAATGTACCGTTAGATTATATGCATCTTATTTGCTTGGGAGTCGTTAAAAAATTATTGATTTTATGGATAAAAAGACCTTTTTCGGTACGTTTAAATTCTACTCAAATACAAAAAATTTCAAAATTATTAATAAAAATTAGAGAACGAACTCCTATAGAATTTGTAAGAAAACCAAGAAGTCTTAACGATGCTATGTATTGGAAAGCTACAGAGTTCCGCCAATTTTTATTGTATACAGGACCCGTAGTGCTAAATGGATTTATACGGCAAGACATCTATATCAATTTTTTAACTTTACATGTAGCTATATCAATTCTTATTAATCCAAAATTAATTAAAAACCAAAATAATATTTTATACGCTGAAAAACTTTTGACACATTTTGTTAAGTCATTTCAAATTATATACGGAGATCAATTCGTAACCCACAACATACATAATTTATTGCATCTTAGTAGAGATGTTCAGAAATTCGGAGCATTAGATGAATTTAGCGCTTTTCGGTTTGAAAATTATTTGCAAATGTTAAAAAATATTTTAAGAAAATCAGATAGGCCTTTGCAACAAGTTGCGCGACGTTTTGGGGAAATGCATGCATGCGAATATCAATTCCATTCAAAATTAGATAATCAATCAAATACTATTTTGAAAAACAAACATTGTGCAGGCCCTCTGCCGAATAACTTAATTATGCAAAATAATCTTAATCAGTACAAAATTCTTAAAACCCATTTATATTATATAAATTGTAAAGAGGACAAAAATAATTGTTGTGTATTAAAAGATGGATCTAATATTTGTGTTGTAAATATTATTCAATCACAAAATCTAGAGATATTTATTATCGGAGTAAAATGTAACAAACTCAATACGTTATATTCTTTACCATGCTCTTCTGGAAAACTTAATATTCATATTATTAGCAAAACAACTGAAATGTCTTTGTGGCCTATCACTGAAATTGAAGGAAAAGTTTATAATTTACTAAACAGTAAAAATGAAAGCATTGCAATTCCCCTATGTCATGCCGGTGTATAAGCTTTAAGCTTTTAATTTTAAATGATCTTTTAGTTCTTTTAATCTACTGTTTGCTCAAGAATTACAAAATTTTTATTTTTAAATTACTTAAATTTATATTTATATATAATTTAATAAATTACATTTATATATATATATATATATATATTTTAATAAGTTACATTTATATATATATATATTTTAATAAGTTACATTTATTAATATGTATCATAAAAAGTAATAAAAAACAAAGCATGTATTGTGTCTGTGTTATGTATGTGCCTTAGCATGTGACTTGCTGCATTCTGCACAAGCACAGGTCTGAGAAAACATAAACAATATTGTGTGTGTCGTTGTTATAATAATGGTGTTTTGTCGCTAAAATCTGAATGGAATAATAGTGCAAACAATATAGCATTGCGCAGACCGCTAAACCATTATTTTTTTCATGATCTGATACTTGCGGAAATGATTAATGAGCAAGGAAGTCAATGGAAAAATGTTGGCAGCTCTTCCGATCAAACACAAGATGTAGGACCAAATCTAAGGCTGGCTCAAACTGTTAAAAACAGAAATAAATTTAAGTAAAATTAGAAAAGTTAACTGTACATGCAATAAGCATACATATATGATATACTTACCTTAATTATGAAAAAGGTAAAAATCTTCTCTCGACCGTACTGGCAAATATTATTTATTCAATCACAATGTTTCGACCCTTCTTGTGATTGAATAAATAATATTTGCCAGTACGGTCGAGAAAAGATTTTTATCTTTTTTAAATTCTGTCTAGCGTTTCTCAAATATCTACGTTCTTACCTTAATTATGTCTAAAATTGAACAATTGTTAATTTCAAATATGCAAAACAAGTCTCAGCTGTGAAGTCAAATGTTCGCATCTTTTGCTGCATATTGTAATCTGAGTAACAGCTGATAAGTTGTGAAATGTGTATAATACAACATGATTATTTCGTTGAACAAAATTGCCATAATTCCTATAATAAAAATATACACATAATATAAGAGTAATAGTATGTCAGCACGTGACTTGTTGCATTTTGCGCAAGCGCAGGCCTGAGGCTGCGTCCCATTAGATTGCATCATAAGTATAGAAATATTTTAATTAGTTTAAACTCGCGTGACGCAACGCGCTCAGTGGGAACGCAGCCTTAGAAAACGAGACGCCCATAACCTCTGTCGTCTGCCGCCTGTGTATTCCAGGCGCAACGGGCGCATGTACACTTTCCATTTACGCATTATACAAGATACGAGAGGTCAGTAGATTCTCTAATGTTTAACAATAATTATCATCGTTATCGTTACATCGTCGCGCATGTATTTCGACATATGAAAATCGCCTTAAAGTGCCTCTTCCAAAATATATATATTTTTTGTGTATGAAGAACGAAGAACATTCACACACGTGCGTGTATATTGCTGCATATTATATTATACAAATTTGGTCTAAAGTATTCATTGAAGGTACGTACAATATTTTAACATATTTAATACATAAGGCTGGCGTCCCATGTATTTTTCGCGGAAACCGTATCGCGTAATTAATGAGAGATACATTTTTCTGTTATGCAGAACATCTTTCAATGGTTACGCGATACGCGTTCCGCGAGAAATACGTGCCATGGGATGTCAGTCTAAGTATAAATATTTGATAGAAAATTGATAAACAAACTTTATGATTATTTTCTTATTTTATTATGCTTTTCAGATGGCATTTCATATTGTACAATTTGATGATGGTTTGGCTCTTGTGCCAACAAATTGGTTATCAACAAATCAAACATCTTGTTTCTATCCCATGGGCTATACGAATAGAAAAAAACTACATCAAGCTATAGCAAATGCAGAAAATCCCAAAATAAATAATAAGAGTGCCAACTGGGTTTTACACGATGTAAAACGTTATTTTTCATCTGCAGGTATATTCATATATATATATATATATATATATATATATGTATATATATGCCCATATTCAGCGCTTTTAAAGATATTAATGTGCTTTTTTGTCATTTGATCTTTATTTTACATTTAATGAACAATAAATAAAGAATGACAAAAAAGCGCGTAAACATCTTTAAAAACGCGTTCTGAATATGGCTTATATATAATTTACATGATCTATGTATTGTAGTGGATCCAAAAATAAGGACTTAAGCAGAAGAGTGGCACCTGTTGCTGTGAATGGCCTCTGGTCAATTACAACGTGACCAATTAGGTGCCACCGAAGCAGAATGGCTAACTCGTAATTTCAAAACATTATTTATGTCTTAAATCCTGTCTTGAAGTAACGCATAATACTGTCTTGTTTCTTGCAAACGCTAGAGATTTCAGACACAAGACAGTAGTGTGCGTTACTTTAAGACGAAGACTTAAGACATGAAAACAATGTCTTGAAATTATGTGTCAGCCATTCTACTTAAGTCCTCAAATGAATCGAACAAAAAGTAAAAATCTTATAATTTTTTTATCTTAATGCATAATTATTTGATTCTTTATAATTTAACGAAATAGAATCGAAATAATAATTTACATAATTTCATTTCAATTATATATTATAATTCTAATTACATATATAAATATGTGGAATTATTACAAGTATATGAAATGTATTATATTATATATATATATATATATATATATATATATATATGATTTTTATGAAAATAACTAATTTTTTTACAGATACATTTGAAAAAGGGATGGAAAAATTGAAATTTGCTGAAAATATATCAGATTTGGACTCTGATAACAATAAAAAAAAACCCATCATTCTAGACACGTTGTAAATTTTGAAAGTGATGACAGTTCAAGCAATGATTGCGCTGATGAGCTACCTTCTACATATCACAAGTTCGATCATTTTCCGGACGATTCACAATTTAATAAAGATAGCGCTACAACATTTAATTCTGATTCAAGAATATTAGCAAGTTTCAGCTGCCCAGTTATTACTGAAACTGATGATAGAGTTGGAAACATTATTTTATCTAAAATAAAAGAACATAAAAATGTTTCACAAAAAGAATCCACAGTATTATTGAATAAGCCTGCAGTAGAACAAAATATAGAATATAAAAAAAACTGTTAATCTCGGCTCGAATTATTGTGTTACAATAAAAATAAAATATCGACGGCAATCGGAGCCTATGCGGATGACATGCACAAAATTAATAAATTAAAATGAGATCTCAAATCAAACTCATTTATTAAATTCTAAACGTTTCGACCCACTTCGGGTCTTCTTCAGTAGAATCCGCAAATAAATTAAATATCATTCTCCTCCCTATTCAAACCGTCCGGCCGTCGGAGTGTCTCCCTAACGGTGACCATCGTCAGGAAGGAAGCAGAGCCGTGACTCCCTTACCAACACCCGACAGTAAAAACAGAGAGAAGACGATGCTACACGTGACACATCACTCTAACGACTGGTCGTCGACGACCAGTCGTTAGAGTGATGTGTCACGTGTAGCATCGTCTTCTCTCTGTTTTTACTGTCGGGTGTTGGTAAGGGAGTCACGGCTCTGCTTCCTTCCTGACGATGGTCACCGTTAGGGAGACACTCCGACGGCCGGACGGTTTGAATAGGGAGGAGAATGATATTTAATTTATTTGCGGATTCTACTGAAGAAGACCCGAAGTGGGTCGAAACGTTTAGAATTTAATAAATGAGTTTGATTTGAGATCTCATTTTAATTTATTAATTTTGTGCATGTCATCCGCATAGGCTCCGATTGCCGTCGATATTTTATTTTTATTGAAAATATAGAATGTACCAATTCTACTACAAACAGTAAGTTTATATAATTATTTGTATCTATACATTTAAAGAATAATATTTAGAATGCATATATATATATATATATATGTATGTATGTTGTATATGTAACTTTATACAGTTTGGTTTCTGTATAATTTCAGAAAAGGAACAACTCCCGTTAAGACCTTTTAAAAACAAAGATGCAGATTATAATACCAATAGTAAGTTTTCATTAATCACTTAGGTCCGATTGCACCAACGTTATTTAAATATACATGTGTCTTTATTTATTTAGAAAGAAAGATAAAGATAGATACATATTTAAGTCTCGCTTAAAGCAAAAATAACGTTGGTGCAATCGGCGGGTTTTATACGTTATACGTAGTATATTATATTCATAGAAAATTGCTTGACAAGTCTTTCTCTCCAATGACTTTTCTCTACCTCGAGTATTATTTCGACGTTGCCAGCGTCTCGCGTTTGCCAATACAAAAATATTCAACTTTAAAATAGTTAACTTTCTATTTGCATTCTTACTTAGCCCCATCTCTGATAATGTAATATTTATAATATTTAACATTTCAGAAGGATTATCAGAAGTTTTTAGAAAGCTAAATAAGTTACTCCAGGAGGTCTATATAATGAAAGAAGACATCGCAGAAATAAAAGAAAACGTTGTACTAATAGATCCAAGAATGATAACCGCAGCGAAGGTTTACACATTGTTAACAGGAAAGTTATTGATGGAAAAAAAAACTTTATTGAAACGTTGGATAATCTGGATATACTGGAGAGTGCTTTAGAAGATACTGAATATTTCCAAAAAGTTGTAAGAGCAGTTTATATAATTTATTTCCATAGATATATTAATCCATATATTAATCAACATATATACATTAATTAATTCCATAAGAATTAATACATTTTAGTTATCATTATTACTATTACTATTAAATTTATTACAAATATTTTCGGAAATAACTTTATTTCAGGGTACAGCTCTTTGTCAAATTGGTGGAGACAACGTAAAAAGTATTACACGAAATGTCCTGTTTGAAATCCTGTCAAACAAAATTGCGGCAGGCTTCAGTTGGGCGGGAGTCAGAGGGAAGAAGAGTTTCAAAGATTTACATATAACCAAACTAGTTCGAGGTAAATTTTACACATTTATATACTCATTTTAAAAATTAATTTTTAATTGTATATAATGTGATATATATTGTATATTTTTTGTAGTTGTGGTGCAGAGCCAGCGAATCAATACGTCAGAAACGGAAATTGACAATGTTATTGGGAAGTGGTTGGTCCAAGCCCCGTTACGATGCAAGAGAGAAATGTATGTATATAATTTATATTTGTATACTTATTATGATATTAAATAAATATATAATATATGTATGTACAATATATTTTTAAAAATATGCAATATTTTTAATTTTGTGTTTCAGAACGAAGATCAACAAACCAGTGAATTCAAAAGACAACAGTGACGATAAAAATTCTGATCTTTAGCATTCTGATGAAATCTTATTCATCAATGATTTGATACCGTATTCAGAGTTAAATAGAAAGTTATAGTTAAAAAAAACATAGTTTATTTTTTTGTTGTAATCTAATAAAATTATATATACTTATGTTTTACGCAATATAAAATTAGTTGCTTAAAAATTTTTAATAACTGTGTAACAATTTTACGTACAAAATGTACATTCTATAAAAAAATTTCATATGTATATGTTATATATATATTATTTAAATACACATATTCAAATGTACATTTTACATTATAAAATTTCTTATACCTAATTTCTACCTTCTATTAATTATATTTCTTTATCTAAACGAAAAGAATTATAAGTTTCAATTATTGACGAAAAACTGTACAAAACTATTGAAAACCGAAGTTTTTAAATTATATATAGCAGTATATATATATATATATATATATGTTTATATGTTGATGGTTGAATATTATATAGTGTCTATATTCTTTTTCATAGAGGAAGTGCAAGCATTATTTAATTATCAATCATGTAATTTTTTCGTAGGAGCGGAAATGTATATAAAAAGTAAAAATTTCGCGTAAATTCGACAAATAGGAATTGTTATAAATTCACGTAAAAGTTTTCACTTTTTACATTTACCCTAAGACGGAAAAAGTAAAAACTTTTACGTGAATTCATTAATTCTATTTGTCGAATTTATGCGAAATTTTTAATTTTTACATTTTCGCTCCTACAAAAAAATTATATGATTAATAGCCAAATATATTTCAGTTACATATCTATTGCGTACCAATTACATTTTTGAAATATTGCAGTTATATATTTATTGTTGTAAGTATGTTACGCAACAATATTACACTTCTGTTACGTATCTGAAATAAACTACATTTCATGTTATGAACGCGGAGATTGGAACTAATTTGAGCGGTAACGGACACATATTTATTTCATATCAAATACATATCTGTAATGATAACCATTGTTATCGTCTCGTAACAAATATCTCTCTGAAACTAATTTGAAACGTATCCCTCGCGATTCGTACTGTATGGGAGGTAATATAACGTGTATGTTACATGTAACATCCATGTTAGTTGTAATTTCCCACTCATAGATGTAACATTTTATTATAACATATATTACATTGTAGTCATATTGTAATTATATACCAAATAGCACATTGATGTATTGATAAGTCAGTGCTATCTTGGGATATAATGGCAATATAACTACAATGTAATATATGTAATATTAAAAATGTTACATCTATGAGTGGGAAATTACAACTAACATATACGTTACATGTAACATGCTTAAGTATATAACATTTATATACTGTGTTTACTGGGATAGTATCGTGATCTAGAATTACGCTTGGATAATGTTTTTCAAGGTCATTTAGAAGTTAGTATTTTTTTTTAATAAAACCACCATATTTTTGTATAAATTGATTTCACATGAATAGTTTGATATTTTAATTTGATATAATTTTAGATAAACTATAAAATATTTTATAAAATATTCATTCTTTGATAATCTTATTTCAATATTTTGATCTATACAAAAGAATGAGAACAATCAATTGATGTAAAAAAAGTACTATTCATTAAAAAAATCAGATTGACCTTTAAATGACCTTGAAAAACGCCAAATGATTTTGTAATGATCAAGGCTAATTCTAGATCACGATATTAAGTCCCATTTACAATGCTACAACTTTTATTAATACCCAGCTAGCAAAATGATACAAACTTTGCACAAAGATTGCGGTAAACTCGAGCAGGCCTTTGTAGCAAAATTGCGACAAGGTGTGTCCGCATTAAGCTGAGTTTTTGCTGGCAAGCATCATATAACGAAAAGTTTTGCCGTTAATTTGTTCGAAATATTTAGACAAGACGAAGCAAGGCAAATGTTTGCCAGAAAATTGTTGTTAAAATTAAAGCAAACTTTACCGCAAAGCTTTAACGAAACGTGATTTTATCACTCTTGGCTAGCTGGGTACATTTTGTTCTAAAACCTCGTCATTTCGAGTTATTTGACTGATCAAAATAAAATGCGGAACTACTTTGTACATAACATTATTTTCTACAAAAAAATCAATTTTATTCTTTTCATCGCTTTTAAAAATATATTTGAAACAGTGATTTTTTTGCTGATACGAAATAAAAGGCATGCGATATCCTTCATAACAAAAAAGAAACATTTGAAGTTCGACGTGTATCTCGCGATAATCACTTTTCAGCTTCATACCTCTGTAAACGCAATTTTATACACAATTGTTACAATTTCTTTGTGCGTGTGTTTAATCTGATGTTATTTCGAAAGACAACTTTATCACAGTACATACAAAATAAAGTGCACCATATATATGGTATAATGTAGCCTACGCATAAATAAATATTACAAACGCAGTATCCAATATCAACATTCACAATAAAAAAAATTTCAATCTCTTTTAAAATAAAATATAAAATTCAATTTTTAATTAAATCAACGTTTACTATAATATATAATTATATTATGCAATTTACAAAAATAGCAGAATACTCCGAATTTAAATAACATATTTATAACAATTTATAATGCCTGTTCTTATCAACTTGGAACATAAATATAATAATCAATTTTATTTATTTTTTTATTTATTGTTAGATATAAATTAAAATTAAAATATACTTTATTTTGTTTGCGTTATACATATAGAAATTCAGAGTTAAACAGAAAAGTAATTGAGATGATCTACGTCACTCAAACTTTTAAAATATGAAATAAATAGCATTGTTTATACATTTAATGTTATTTAAATTATGTTTTATTTATTCAATTAATAGCATTTTTAATAATAGCAAAGTTATATACAATGTATATAATTAAGATTTAAATTTAAACTTTTTAAACGAAAGATTAATTTTTTTATAATAAAAAAACTGATAAAGAAACCTTTGTATAAATGTTAAATATTATGTTTTTATCACCCTTAAAAAAGGTAAATTGAACCAAATTTTATACAAATGTAGGCCATTTTTAAAATAGATAGATTTTTAAAATTATTTATCTATTTTTAAGTAAATATAGATTATAGAAGAAATTATAATTATTTTTTATATGTGTAGAAATAAAAGTATTACTGACAAAATGTAAACGGAAAAATATTTAATATAAAGAGTTCTTCCTTTGAAGCAAAAACAAAGAGGCACTATTTAAGTTATTTAAAACATATATATAAAGAACTAAGAAGTCACCAGTCAATAATTAAAAATGTTAATAATTTCGTCAACCATATCTGGCTATAAATACTATTTATTAAACTTTACGACGTTTCGGCCATGGGTTTCGGCCCTTATCAAGTGCTATAACAATTGATATATAATTAAATTATGGCTTGATAATAAACTCATAGACATAAATACTTATAATTTTTTAAACACAACTAATGGTAATTTACCACGTTGTTATGGGTTACCGAAAATTCACAAAATTGACTTTCCATTGCGTATCATAGTGTCATCTTTATATAGTCCATTATATTACTTGTCGACTTACATACACGATATACTGAGTAAATCTATTAAGAAACCAAGATCATATGTTAAGGACAGTTGGTCCTTTGTGAAGAGCATTAATAACATGTTAATCAAGGACGAGGAATTATTAATATCGTTAGACGTTGCTTCCTTGTTTACGAATATCCCTAAGGAATTAGTAATCAAGGGAGTAGAAAAGAGATGGAATGACATCATGATCAATACGACTTTCAACCTCTCTCAATTTTTATATGTGATCGAGTTTATCGTGGATTCGACTAGTTTTGTTTTTAACGGTCAATATTATGAACAAATTTATGGTAGTCCTATGGGGTCTCCGCTTTCACCAATATTAGCTGATATGGTGATAGATGATCTAGAGACTGAGTGTCTGGAAATGTTGGGTTTCGAAACTATGCCGTTTTTTAGATACGTGGATGACATTTTCACAATTATCCCTCAGGGGTGTGTTGATGAAATTTTGTCAACTTTTAATAATTATCATCCCAGATTAAAGTTCACGCATGAGATTGAAAATAATAACATGATTAATTTCTTAAACACTACAGTAATTAGGAAAAATGGCAATTTCTTAACTAATTGGTTTTTGAAGCCCACAAGTTCAGGCAGATATATTAATTATTATTCCAATCATCCGTTTAAATATAAAAAGAATACTATTTTCAGTTTAGTTGATCATGCGGTGATGCTATCTAATGAATGTTTTCATCAAGCGAACATCCTCAAAGTAAAAACGATATTGATGAACAATGGTTTTCCTTCGGACATTGTCAATAAGTTCGTAAAAAACAGATTAAAATTACTTAGTACACAAAACAACGATGATTATATTAATAATAACAATAATTTAGGCAGTGCGAAATTTAATCATGTTATAAAATGACCTTATGTCAAAGAACTCAGCGATGATTTGACGAGATTATTACAAACTACGGGTATGCAAAGCGTTTACAGTATACCGAAGAAATTAACTTCTTTAATTAAACGTGTAAAAGACCCTATACCTTTAAAAGAAAAAACAGAAGTAGTGTATAGAATTAATTGCAAAAATTGTCCTGCATCATATATAGGTCAAACTAAACGACAATTAGGCACACGTGTAAAGGAACATTTTAATAACATCAAGGTACACAGTAGTAATTTTTCGGTCATTACTAATCATAAAATTGATATGCGACATGATTTCAATTGGTCTTCGCCCGAAATTTTACATCATGAAAAATATGTTAGAAAACGAGAAATAGCGGAGATGTTTTTCATCAAGAAATTTGACAATAATATTAACTTACAAAAAGATACTGACAATCTAAACAATGTCTACGAAAAATTAATAAAGGTCGTTTAGTCTGATCTAGTATATAAATACCATAGTTCCGTATTGACATATTAATATAGTTAGTTCGTAACACATTATCATGACAGTACATCACGTCATGACCTAAGATCAAACAAGTAGTGTTATTACAATAATGCGGTATTAAGTAGGTTGGTATATTAATATTTAAGCACCTAATTTGTATTAATCTGTAATATTATTAATTTAATTATATATCAATTGTGATAGCACTTGATAAGGGCCGAAACCCATGGCCGAAACGTCGTAAAGTTTAATAAATAGTATTTATAGCCAGATATGGTTGACGAAATTATTACCATTTTTATTTAAAACAATTAAATAGACATAAATTATGATATTTTATATATTCAAGCATGTTTGTAAATTCCAAAAGTATTTTAATACTTAATTTAATAATAAAATAATAATAAAATTTTTTATAATTTTTTTAAAATTTTATTTTTTTATTTTCTCACAACATCGTGTATTAAACTTAAAATTTTCAAAAAAATAATTAATTTTTTTTTTTTGTTTTTACTGGTTCATATTTCTCCTATAGTGCATCTAATTCAATTGCATATACATATATTAAGGAAAAAATATTTTTTATTTTTTGATTCTTTTTTCATGCTATTTTCATACATTAATTTTTTTATACATTAATAACAAAATTTATTAATAAATAAAAAATCTATTAGAATGTTTCAAATAGAGAAAAATTGAAAAAGTTTATGATTTTGAAACATGCTTTGTTTCTTATTTCTATTATTGTTTTTAAATCCAATCTCGAATTATATTGTGTTATAAATAATGTAAAGAACCTTTAAAAGATTTAAAAGGTTTAACTTTTTGCATTATTTTCTGGCCTTTTATTTCCAAGATTGATATATCTTATCTACACAATTTTTATTAATAACCAGAACATTCAGAAACAATTGCTGAACGTCTCGTGCTTTAATAATATATTACATATTGTTTGAATTGTATTATATTTTATTTTTATCACTTGCAATAAAATTAGGTATACTATTTCTTTTTTATTATTCTAATTTTTTTAAAAACAATCTTTACATAAAATAATCAAGCAAAAAGTAAATTCAGAAATGATACATAATATGGACACAAACAAAATATAAGCTTTATATCTTATATGGTAGTTAGCAACATAACCAAAAAAATTAAACACTTGTCAACAATTATTACAATAACTTACAAATTTCATCAATTTAAACACTTTAGCTTTATAGCGACTTCTTCAACTCGTATATAATTTTTTTGCGTACACACGCACACATACACCTATAATTTTTCTTTCTTTCTCCTCTCCCCCCCCTCTCTCATATATGTGAAAGTACCAGATTTAACACAGCGCAAACATATGCGTCCTAATGTTGCAAAATCACGTTACTTGCCGAAGTGGTAACATTAGCTAAGAGCTTCGGTAAGACCGTCGTGGACGCATTCAGCGCCCCTTCGTCGCTTAGTAGGCTTACGGTGCTATTCGACAATAACGTGGACATCAGAATCGTAGTTAGCACATTGGCAGTGGTCTTCGCCTTCGGCATCGTCGTCATTCTTTCAACGACGGGCAAAGTGGAAGATATCCCGTTCATCAGAATGCTCGCCGTCACGTTGCTGAGCGGGGTCGTCAAAATTTGACTATTCGCCAACTGCGCGCACACGTCCTTAGCTTGCACAGACGGGCCGAGACAGGCATCCATCATATACGCCAATAAAGATTCGATGGTCAATCCAGTAGTATACGATAACGTCATAATGTTACCTAATAAAATATGATATTGTATATTATTAACTTTTAAGTTTAACGGATTAATAAAAATCTTCCTAACAGCACAACATATCCAAAAAACGTTCAGAGGATATCCAGAGGACATTCGAATATCTTCTGCATGTCTAAACGTCTTTCGAATGTGTGCTGTTAGAGCTGTAATAGATTAATTTTGAATATTATTTTAAATAAGAAAAAAAATTTATATATAGATGTCTCATTTTAATTGTCTACTTGAAATTGTTTGAAAAAAATGTTATATATGGTCTAAAGAAAAACAAATAATGGCAAAATTAATTTTGGGAAAAACAGTTCCTTCTAAAAAACCTTTTTTCCTCGGAAGCAAATTTCAAGCACTCAAAAATTTATAAGAAACATGTCTATTTTAAAATACCTTGTCTGATTTAAAATAATGAAATAAGTATTTTTTTTGTAAACTAGTGTGTTTTGGAATCGTTTTGCGACTATCGCTCGCCTCGACTTATTGTCTGCGCGAGCGAGCACACAGCTGATCAACCAAAAAATTATATATAAACACGGCTTGTCATTGCCAGCGCTCTGACTTCGTGTTATTTCCCTTACTTTTCTCCGAAAACCGGCGGGTTCCTGCGATCCGACGGTCGATTCCGAGAGAGTGAGCGTTCGGCCGTCTAAGCGACCACAAGTCAGTGAAATTCTATCGAAACAGTTTTCGCTCTGTATTCTTCGAAAAGTGCGTCCGCCGAATACCGCCTAGTTTGCGGATTTTCGCGCTGTGGCGATGTTAACCCGCTCCCGTTGAGAGAAGGACGAGCGAAAGACTACCAGACCAGAGGAACGACACCATAGTTATTACCTAATTAATAAAATTAAAGGGAGCCTTCGACAACCAACCCGGCCATCGTTAATATTCCTGAACATTCCTTGCCCACCGATCGTTCAGTAAATGATTAAAACCACACATAGTGTAATTTTTAAATAAGTGACATACAAAATGTTTAATATTAAATGCTGGAGTACACTAGTTTTTTGAAATGTAAGAAGTAGACGAATTGAAAATAAAAAAAATTTTTTAATTACCGCGTTTCAATAATTTATATTCTGTGTCCTTCCTTCTTTTTTCTCTTTTATCACTATTATATTTTAACGAAAATAGTGTGAACAAGTGCCTATAGACCTGTTGTTCAAACTTTTCCCGATTCATTTTTGGCTGAAAATAAAGTTTACGACACGTAGATTGCGAATATGCATAAGTTTCAAAATGGACCGAGTTACCATTTTCAGAGAATAACTCATTCTAATTCCAATATGACAGATGATCCTAATGGTTTTAATCCCATTTTTGCTATATCTGATTGACCTGATTGACTGACACTTGCAGTTAATCGTAACACTCAATAAAATGGCTTTTGGCATTAGTTTTCTTGTTTGCTTTATTGTCAAAATAAATCTTGTTGAAAAAAAAGAAAGAAATAAACATGGGGTGTAAATTATTGAAATTGAGCTGATTAAAAGAAATCTTTTCATTTGACGTGGCATCATATTTGTTAATCAGAATTTTAAATGAGCTATTTTTTCTGGAATAATTTGGTCCACTTTAAAACTCGCGTATTCGTAATCGCATCATATAAATTTCATTTTAAGTCAAAAAATAAAATCCAATCTCGAGTTAGGAAAATTTTGAGCAACAAATAGCAAACTGACGTCATTTTGGCATTCAATGACGTTATTCGACGTCAAAATGACGTATATGCTTGTCACTTGGGAACTGCCCGTACTCTTTGTTTTTATAATATATACCTGCGAGTTCTCGATGTTCTTCTGGTAATTTGCTTGGCGCCTGAATCATTGGTATGGAACCGATTACACCATTTGTAAAGCCAAGGAGCCAGAAGAGCACAAGCGGGAATCCCTCGCCGGAGAGAATAGGAGCACCACGTGGAATTGCGCAAAGTAGAAATAGGGGAATAAGTATGATTCGCGCACTAGAGAAATAGAGTAACTGAGTGCGCTTCCATTCGTAAGGTATTAAACCAAATGCCTATAAAAAATTCAGATAATCTGTATTATAATTCTATATAAAAAAACATAACTGCTTTAATACTTTTTAATTTTATAGTTTTTATCACTTTTATATATTTTCCATTTTTGCATTAATATGTTGTATTTATATTCAAGCAACATCTATTACATTGTTCAACAAAAAAACACCGGCACGAAACTATAGTCGTTTCTTATAGTTTTTGGATGCTGAACACAAATCTGTCTTCAAAATTGCTCCATTACATCACTGAAAATTCCTATTCAGGGTTAAAATTCTAACAATATATTTTATTTTGATAGCAAGAAAACTTTTTTAGCATGTCGCATATTGTAGCTATAATATGACAAAGTTCATGAAAATAGCCTTTTTTGCAACTTTAATTGCATGTCTCTTAAAATTGTGATGTTATGGAGCAATTTTGAAGATATTATTCGTATTCAGCATCCAAAAAACTATAAGAAACGACTAGTCTCGCTCCAATGTTAAAAAAAATCATTTTTTGTTGCACAGTGTTATATCTTTTAATTAGATTTTCTAGAGATATTAAAAATTAAATAACATGATAATATAATAGCAATATTAATCAAAAGGAAAGTATTTTAAGAATAAGTATAAATAAATAAAGTATTAAAAAAGTGTTAAAATATTCGTCCATTTGAATGCGAAGAAAACAAAATATTAAAAAAAGAACAAAGAATTAATGTCATATACAATTTAAATAATCGACAATCTTGCCGAATAAATCAGCGGAGTTGAAGACGGTTATCAGAATAACTGGCATCCACGATTCGAATTTGCAGGATATTATTTCCGATACGATTCCTGGGTACAAGCAGAGAGTTACGAGGTAAGCAACTCCAATACTGGCCATGTACGGAAAGATCAATTTGGCGACTTCGAGTCTAGCGAGCAAACCTCCTAAAAAATTATTTTAAATTTTCCCTATGAATATTAATCGATCTTATTGAAACATTGTTGTTTCACAACAATGATTCAATAATCACAATCATGTAAAATTGGTAAAAAAAATATCAAATACACTCACTCCAAAAAAAAAAACAGTACACTTAAAATTTGGAAAAAATTTACCAAATTTCAAATGACGATAACTTCGAAAATAATAAAGATAAAAAGGTTTCTAAAAAATGAATATTTTTTAAATAATGGGTTTTTAAATTTTATATATCCTTTTTTATGCAGACTTTACTTAAAAGTCAATTAAGTGTTTGGATTAGAAATCATCGAGTTTTAGAGAAAAGACAATCTCAAATGAAAAAGAAAAAGAGGAGGAAGAAATTAAATTTACTGTTAAAGCTAGTACTACTGCCAATATTGATCGGTTAGAAAATAAATTTATTTAAAAAATTAAATAAATTAATTCTTGACTCAGTATATTATTAAATAAATACGAATATGAAACAGGCGTTTCCGAGCCATATGCCGTTAATGGTGCGTTAATCTTGTAGAAATTTAAGATTTCTACGAGACTTAAATTACAAGAATAGACGAGAAAAAATATCGGGCCAGGAAAGTCGCAGATTCGGGAATCGCATACCACTAACCGCGTATGGCTTGAAAACGTCTGTTTCATATTCTTATTTATTTTATAAATTTTTTATTATACATTTTCTATATTAATAAAATTTATTTAAAATAAAATAATATATAATTAAAAAAAATTTTTACAGGACGATTAATCATATTACAAATGCAGATATTCAAAATGCCTTAAAAGAATTAGAGAAGAAAAAAAATATTGACCATAAAAACATTTCTCATATAAAACGTCTCTTAAAGATGACATTATCTCATCGAAGACAATGGATTGATGAAGCGAAACGAATAGTTGACATTGTGCAAAAATATCCTCAATTAAATAATTATGAGTTGGTACGTTTTGTATAACGTACATTTATTTATCAAATTTTTATAATGAAACACACGCACACCCATACCCACACACATACACATTATTTATTTATATACTTTTCTCTATTATTACAGATACTGTCAGAATTTTTAGAATTAAAGAAGATTACAGAAAAATACTTTTCGACGAAATTGGAAAAATGCTTGAAAAACTTACAACATATTATTCCATAAAAAAGCCAACTGATAATAAAATTTTTATTATGCAAAATCTATGTGCTGACCTTATAAAAAAAAAAAACTTTCTTGCTCTATTTATTATAAAAGAAGTTAGTACTGATTTTATATGCTTATTTATAATTAAAATAATTATTTAATTAAATATTTAACTTTAAACAAATTTATTCTCAGGTAATGGGAGATATAGATAAATTAATTACAAATGAAGGCGATGCACCTCGTGTAGTTATATACACAAATAATCATGATATTATGATTGCCTACTTGGTAGCAGATGCAGAAATAAAATAGAAATTCCTCAACCAACAATGGAAAAAATAACTGCTGGATTATTTGCTTCTTATTATGCATGGAACAGGACATTTCCGGCTGCTTATGCAAATGTTTTGAGGTTTATAAGTTATGAGCTTTTAAAAACTCCACTACCAACTTCTACTACTATCAAAAAATTTATCCAATCTCGTGATGAATATTATAAAAGAGTCAGCACTATAAATAAATCACAGAATAATATTATACCAGTTGTCTGGTGAGAAACTACATTATATATACAATTATTTTACCAAAGTTTGTCAATTATTTTACCAAAATTATACACTAATGAAAAAAATGTAATTGTAAGTTGTTTATACGAGAAAGGTTTCTATATGTATAACAGAAAATATTACTTTTCTTCTATATGTATATATTCTTTCTATATGTATGTATTCTTTTATATATATGAAAAAAATTTGTTCTTTTATCAGATATTCTATATATAATTTTAAACATACACACATACACACACGCGCATCATACATACATATAAAAGACATTTATTAAAATATTATTCATAGATATTATTAAATAAATACCTTATAAAAATTATTGTTTTTAGAAAAAGCTACCTGTTCTTAATATAAAAAAATTACACACTTTAAACATATAATTTAATGTGTAAACGTGTAAAAAGCACACGTTTCACTGTGTAAACTAACACAGTAAATTGTGTAAAATAACACAGATCAAATGTAATAATATTACACACGTACAAATGCGTAAAAAGTGATTACACGTTTTACATGCATAAAATGTGTAAAAATTACACACTTGGATTTGCAGTGTTGTTAGATAAATACACTTCAACCAACATTTGTATATATAATACTATTGTATTTATAATACGACTCCCCAAATAGCAAACTGATGTCATTAACGTCAAAATGGCATTATTTCTTATGATGTCATTTTGCCGTTTAATGACATCAATTTGCTACTTGTGTGAGTCACATAATACGAATAACAGAAGATATATAAATTATAACATTAGATAAATATTTAAACGACCGATTTGCTATGATGGTGATGTTAATTTATTTATACAGCTACGTTTCGACCCTATATAAATTGGGTCCTCTTCAGGCTAATCACCGATAAATAATACAGAATGTAGAGCGCAACATAAAATCAATGTGGTATGACTAAATTACATGAAAATCGTTAACAAAATAAATTAAAAATTAATAAATAAAAGTACCTGATGTTAAACGTCAATGTTAATTATTAAAAATAAAACTAAGAGATAATTGATATTTGCTTATTGACATAATATTGACAATATTCACTATATGAAGCGACCAAACAACGAATAAAACTTCGGTCGTCACTTCACATATGCATCTCATTGTCAACAAGATTCAACATTAACTGATAGTGAACCAAAAAAGGTGATAAATACAATTACAATACTTCTCATAAAAATGATACATACTTTAAAAGAATAATACAAAACAGTAAAAGGAAAAGAAAACAAGACAAGGTAAGGATATTAAAAAGCGTTAATAATAGTGTTATAAATCGAGCTATATATAAGATTATCCGTATCTTTTTGTAAATTGATAAAGTCGTTCTGTTTTTTAATAAAAATCATTTCACAGATTTCTCTTTTTTTGGTATTACATTTATTATGCAAAATGGATACAGACTCCCAATTAAAGTCGTAATTGTAAGTAACTCAATAATTGCTAATAACCGAATAATTACTTTCGTGCTTCTTAATATCGTTGCGATGTTCTTTAATACGCGTTTCTAAGCGGCATTTAGTTTGACCAATATGTAACACGCCGAGCAATTCTTACAAATGATTTTATAAACAACATTCGTTCTTTTGTTAGGTAAAAGTTTGTCTTTTCCTTTCTTTATTAGGCTATTAAGCCTGTTAGGAACAGTGTATAATTTGTTCGTAAATTTATCGTTAAATTTAAAACTTGTGGAGTTTATGACAACTCCAACGCGTGTAAAATTGGTCAAGAGAAAAATTCGTGTTCCCCGAAATATCATTCCGCATCTACTCCTAATGTCCGAAATGATTAGTGATTTCGGAATATTAGTATAAAGCGGGGAAACGTCCAGTGATATTAAAAGTTCATCATCATTGATATTTATATTTTTTATGCCTCTTGCAAAGACCATCCATCTTTAATATGCGACAATGGTTGTCCGAAATGATGAGTGATTTCGGAATATTAGTATAAAGCGGGGAAACGCCCAGTGATATTAAAAGTTCATCATCATTGATATTCATATTTTTTATGCCTCTTGCGAAAGACCATCCAACTTTAATAAGTTTTTTTGATTGAATTTTTGATGAAAAATATTAATATTAATGATGATAAACTTTTAATATAATTGAACGTTTTTTTTTCTCGCTTTATACTAATATTAGCCTGAAG